GGTTGGGGGAGAGAAGCATGTTCCTGCGCTGCCACGCGGCCCTCTGAGGGATCCTAGAGAATCCCCAGAGAATGAGATGGGCCACAGGTGTGGGGTAGCTGGGCCCCGATCACAGACTTCTGCAAGGGGAGGAATGGTGAGGGGACCTGAGCTGGTCAGCCTGGAAAAGGCTGGGGGTCGGGATGGCAGATCTTTCTGCTAATCTCTGCCAGGCTGTCAGAGGAACCTCTGGCTTCTGTGCAGTCTTCACGGGCAACAAAGGGATCAGGTAGGTCTCCTCCTGAAATAAGGAAGCCCAGGCAGAGCCCTCCTACTACGGAAACTCTGCCTTGAGAGGTGAAGACCCTCCCATCTCTGGGGGCATCCAAGTTGAGGCCAGGATTGACAGGGATGCTGCGCAGCAGGGCTTGGCAAACTTCCTCCCACAGTAACATTCAGGCTTTGCAGGCCACGGGCAGTGTCTGTTGCGTGTTCTTATTTGGTTTTGGTTTTGTTTGTTTTTAACCCTTTAAAAATGTAAAAACCCTTCCTAGCTGGCAGGCCATACCCAAACAGAGGACCCTGGCCCTGCTGTAGAAGACATAGCATCAGGTGTTGCCTTGAAGTAAACAGTTTTGCAAGGCTCCTTCCAGTCTGAAATTCTGAGTCTGTGAAGTGCTAGGAGTCCCACAGATTTGCTCTGTGACCTGGACAAATTGTTCCTCCTCTTAGGGCCTCGACATCCCCATCAGGAAAATGGGCCAAAGGACACCTGAGAGAGGAGAGAGGTTATGGCGGGCAAAGCACAACACTTTATTCAATACATGTTCACCGCGGGCTACCCTGCTAGGTGCTGGGAATACAGCAGTGAGCAAAACATGCTTCTCTCCTCCTGGCCTCACGGAACCTCTGGTCTAGCTGGGGAGACAGACAAGCAAATAATCACCTGGCTATAATTATGAAGGATAATAAGAGCTTTGGGAAAGTTCAGGGGGCTTGACCTGGTCTGGTTACGTCCAAGATGCCTAAATGTTAACCAGGCGAAAGAGAGGTGGGAGGAAAGGAGCCCCTCAAAAAGCAACAGCAGGTGCAAAGACCCCGAGATTGGAGAGCGCCTGGCATTTTCAAGGAATTGCAAGAAGCCAGGGTGATGGAGCTGAGAGAGGGAGGTCTGAGCTGGAAGTGGGAGGATTAGGCAGGAGCCAGGCCACGCGGGCTGCGAGTGGCTCTGGGTCTTTATCCTGGCAGCAAACACTCACTGTTCTACGTGCCTTACACACGTGATCACACCTAATGCTTCCATACCAGGGTCACATAATGAATAAGCAGTAGGATCAGGCCCTAAACCCAGGCAGTCTAGTTGCAACAGCCTTGCTCCTACCTGTCAACCACACTGCCTTTCGGAGCAATAACGTGCCACTGCAGTGCTGAGATCGAGGTGCGGAAACCATCAGATCTGAATTCTGAAAAGACGGCTGGGCTGTGGCTGGGGGCTCTTATCATTCTAATCACTGCTTTCTTTCGCCACCCTGGGGGCGGGTGGGGAGCCGCAGCAGGCCTGCGGGAGCTAACTGTGCACAGCTCTCCCCAAGTTCCCCTTCAGGGATTTCAGGGATGTCACACTGGTAGCTTGCAGTCAGCCACGGAGGGAATATTCCACCAGGGAAAGCAGCCCGTACTACAGATCAGGATGGGTTTTTCTCTGCACAGCCGGTTGATAAACTTTTATGCACACATCGCTGTCTCTGTCTCCTCCCCAAGAGCCTCTCACAGTCCCAAACGCGGCACCCCACTCCAGCTCCCACATCTTGGGAGGGGGGAGGCCCTGAGTCTAAGAGTACGAAGGCTGAGCATATAGCCTGGCTCTGCCAGGCAGAGGAGTTACCCATGGCCCATTCTCTTCCCCCACCCCAGGCCTGGAGGAGTGCGGGCGCATCAGCGTCTCAGCCCCCATCGTCCACCTGGGAGATGCCATCACGGCCTCCTGCATCATCAACAGGACCTGCAGCCACCTGGATCCAGAGTCACAGATTGTGTGGAAACTGGGGACAGAGCTTCAGCCCGGGGGGAGGCAGCAGCGCTTGCCAGATGGGACCCAGGAATCCACTATCACCTTGCCCCACCTCAACGACTCTCGGGCCCTTCTCTCCTGCTGTCTGCGCTGGGGCAACAGCCTGCAGATCCTGGACCAGGCTGAGCTGCAGGCAGGCTGTAAGTCTCCTGCTCTGCCTCCAATGCCCCCCTGAGATACTAATAAGAACTCCTCTTCCTGGAGCTCTTGCTCAGTAGCACTTTATGGGCTCGATATTAGGTCATCTTCCCTACCAGTGGGTAGTGCCGTTTGGCCCCATTTTACAGATGAGAAAACTGAGGTTCAGAGAGGGTAAGTAACATGCTGAATGAAGGTCACAAACTAATAAGGATGGAGCGAAGATTTATACCAGGCAGCGTGGCCTGAGAACCAGTGTAGTAACTGCTACTCTATATGGCCGCCGAGTAAGCCCAACTCCCCAGTCTCAGGCTTCTGCACAAGCGGCAAAGAATGGAGTTTGTGCCAAGCCAATGCATAAGAAAAAACAAGACAGACAGGTCTTTTTTTTTTTAAATATATTTTATGATTTTTGCAGAGAGGAGGAGAAGAGATAGAGAGTAGAACATCGATCAGCTGC